GTATTGCCTATCTAACATCTATACAATAATTTTTTATATACAAACCACACAATTCTTATGTATTATTTATATAACACGTAAATTTTAATTTTTACATAAAGGGCCTATTTGGCGAAACGGCGAGAAGGATTTACATAGTCTCTTTTTTTTATCTTTTAGCAGGATTTAGCTTAAATTCTGCTTAAAATCGGCTACCTAATAGCTCCATACATAAATTTCATTTATGTTTCTCCGTTAGTGGCTAACAATCTGCAACAAAGAACATTGAGGATCTCACCATCGTCCTACAAAACTTTTCTGTAAGTCTATGTGTTATTCTCTATCACACAATAGGCAGGATGCATTCCTCCACATCAACCAACCAACTTGATATATACTACTCACATCCCAATCAATATCACCATCAATTTGAAAAAGAGACCTAAGATATCTAAACGTTCAAACCTTTTAATAATTTGATCATTCGTACTTACAATTTTGCCACTAGAGCAACTACTACTAAAATTACATTTCATGTACTCAGTTCTATATCTACTCAAATGAGGGCCTTTAGAATCAAATGTTGACCTCCATAAATTAAGGGGCTGTTTGATATGATCTTTTTAACAGGATTGAAGTTATATTTAATTAAAATGCAGCCAAACAGCATAAATACATTAAATAAATCGGCCGTTAGGTTAAATCCAATTTTGGTTGTTCCGTTTATTAAATCTAGATTTACTAAATAAATGTATTAGTTAGATTTAATGGATTTAGTGCAAGAAAAAATATTTTAAATAGATTTATGCAAAATACCTCAAAATGGACTTAACTTGATTTAACCTTTACATGAACCAAACATCTCAAATAGATGACACTAAACGCCTTAATTTATCCCACAAGATTCAACTTGTTTAAATCCGAAAAATCTTGCTTTTTACAGGATTTGGTAAACCCCAGATTTATGACAAAACTGAGCAAAAAATGGATTCTAGAACTAGTAAGATTTACAGTTGGCAGAATTTAGCTTAAATCTAACATATATCCTTTATCAACTATCCCATACACATCAAATTGATTTAACTTGATTTAACCGTAATCGAACCAAGTGTCATTTTAGATTTAACAATATTAAGATTTAACAAATCTAGATTTACTGTATTTATTAAATCCTATTCAATAAAACCTTCTTACAGCCAAACACCCCGCTAGTCTTATCCATAAGAATGATATCAATGGCAGAAAGTATACAACAAGGTTCATCTTCATTTAAATTTCTTGTAAGAGCATGCATAACTAAAGCAAAAGGAAGACTAGCCATACCTGTGAGCGTCGGAGAGGTGGAGTTGTCGGAGCTGCAGTCGTTGGGGTGCTAGAGTTGTTGGGAGAGGGGAGAGGGGAGAGGAGAGAGGCAAATTAAAGCATGAGGGAGAGATTAAGACCGAGAGGTAGAGGATTAGGGACAGACCCGGGGCGTTGAGATTTTGACAGTATAAATAGTTCTTTCCGAAGGTTTACAAATGACTTAAAATTCGTCGGTTATTAACATTAATATCGACAACATTTGACATAGCTTATTAAAAAACCTCGTCGGTTAATTCCTCTCCAAATGACGTGTTAGTGAATAACCGACGACATAAGGGTCTCGGTTATTAGTTGCTTATAATTGAAGGTAAAAAATTTCGGCAATCATAAAAACCATCAGAAAAAAAATTTTAGTTGATAAAGGACAGTATGTCCTATTGTTATGTCATCAGATATAATTCATCACATAAACCATAGTAAAACCTTGGGAAAATAGGACATTTTGATATTTAGATAGATTTTTTACTTACAGAGGAAATAGTCACTACATAAAATGAAAAATTTCTAAGTATTAAACTTTTAAAAGAAGCAATTGAAGCTACAAATAACTCCACCTTCTATCATACAATTCATTGAAGCTCGAACAACATTATGTAGGATGATCATATAATAAGCTATTTAGTCTCATTGATTAATAATATTTTTTTTATTGTCATAAAAATGTAATGAATTGACTGAGTGCCAGACGTTTTTAACTGTGAACTATGAAATCATTACAACGATAGTATCAAATTAAATATTTTGCATTCTTATGTATGTATATATATATATATATAGTAAATAAAGCAAACTTAGTAAATGGATCTTACACATTCTTTTGCAAACTAAGGGAAAAGGAATACTTGTTCTTGTGCTTGGACCTAAAGTAAGAAGATAAATTATTATATAGTGAAATGTTCAAATGTTTTTAAAATATGTTGAATTCAAATGTTCCTTAGGAATGTGAAAGAATTTAAAGCCTGAAAATTAGAAATATAATTTTCTTAATGTCACGAGTTCGAACCATACCTTTTACAATTTGTTGGCCATCCTTTACAGAAAAAAAATATATTTAGAACAGAGGCCAACCAAAAAAAAAAAAATGTTTTGTCGGGTTACATATTATTAATTTAAAAAATATAATCTACTTTTTCAATCAAGATTGGAAAGGACGCTAGAAAATTTTAATTTTGCTGTTACATAATTAAAATAAAATTAATAAAAGTATGCTAAAAAAATTTAAAATATGATAAAATTTGAAAAATAATTGCTCACATATGAACACCAAAAAGTCCTAAAAGTTGCAAAGGAGAAAAATTTAAAAATAAAATTTGAAAGACTTGTTGTAACTGGGGCAAATATAAACCCTACTAAAAGATTGCCATCCATTATAATTGTCAATCAACCCACGCATATCACTGAACAAAGTGTAGAAACCTGTTCTAACTCAATATCAATTGGTAGTCTAGGTATTATGAGCTAAATAAAAAAATAATAGTTCAAACAAAAATATACTAAAAATTGATAATTTGTTGATAATAAACTAATCGATTTTGAAATAAATAAAAAATAATATTTCAATGAATAATAATATAAAGATAGTGAATTGTGGAGAGATAATTGATATTATATATATGCATAAATATTATTTTAACATATTATACTTTATGAAATATATATAGTTATATCAATTCAGGAATGGTAACAGCATATGTTAACTGAAATTCATGTAAAAAAGATAATTTATGAATTTATTTTTTAATGGAGGAAATCAAACCAATATTGGCAAGTAAATTTGTAAGTTAATTGAACTTACACACACACAACTTGCAAATGAATTGAGACTTCTGGCTTAATTCGACTAAAGTTCATTTAAGTTTGTTTAATTAAGTAATCTTACTAATTTAAACATTTATTAAATATTTGATTATTAGATAAAAAAATTTCAACACCTTATTGCTCGATTCAATTATGAAGTGGACAATATAACTTAAAAGCTCAAAAACATGTTTTTTAAGGAGCTAAATTAAAAATTGATATTAATTTAAAACCGAATATAAATTAAAACTAAATATAAAATTTAATTTAATTTAAATAGTATTAAAAATATTTTAGCATTAAATTTATTTTTATATTATTAACTTAAATTTAATGAAATCTGCTCAAATTTATCCAAAAATTTAAATATTTATATTTAATGTAAATATGCGTTGAAAGATAGCAAAACTAAATTATTGAAAAAAGCAGAAAAAAGAAAAAAAATAAATAAATAAATAAAAGCAAAAAGTTTGAGAGCAACATTCATTACTTATTGTTTAACATTTTAATATGAAGCTCGCACTTGAAAGATTTCTGTTTAGTGTCTACCATTTAAAAATTTAGTCTCACAAATTAATAAATTATTGGGTTGTTTAAATTGAAAAGCATTGATGAACTGGTAGAAATTTTTAGCATCACATGGGCATGAGGCTGTAATGGGTTAGCATTTTATAATTTTTTTGAAAGTGCCTTAATATTAAAAAAAATATTTTCTGATATCAAATCTGTTCAATATTTATTTATAGCTATTATAAGCTTGAGCTTGTATTAATAAAAGTTGAATGAACTACTCGATTTAAAACTTAATTTCAACCAAGTTTATAATTAAACTAAATTCGAGTTGTTAGTGAATTAAGTAACAAGAGTAGGTGCACGGGCCCCTACTGTCTCTAGTGTTGCTCGGCCTATATTTGTGGATCATACCACTATTTTATATGGGCCACCTCATAATAAAAAGAGAGGAGAAATAAAGTGTTTAAAAAGAAACACTTATGATTTTTTTAGTTTTCTGCAACTAATCCCAAGATATAAGAAGTGTTGCCAATCCCATTATATGACAGCATGATTAGTGAAAAAAAGTTATAAAGTAAAATTTAGCTAATGCCACTAATTGGTATGATGACTATCTTTACTAACTTGTATTTTATCAAAATATATCAAGAACATATGGCAAATTTCAACTGATTAGATCTTTGAAAATGAAGTTTCTAATGAAGCTTTTTCGACGACACTTTGACCTGGCTAGAAACTTTGCTAAGCCTGGGCATGTTCATCTGACAAGTAGCCTTATTAGCAAATGATGATTTCATTGGTGGATAAAATTTTATTGTAATAAATTGACAGCATATGGGGGTAGATGGTGACCGATTGAATCTATTTTATAATAATAACAAAAGTTGATTAATTTGTCGCAAATAATATTTTAGTAAAAACTACTTTAGGTGACTCAAAAATCAAATGAATGAGAGAAAGTTACATCACAAAATTTATTTTATAGTTCAATCTATTTTTTGGAATGTCATAAGGAACCCACATGATTACACTAAATTGAGAAGATACTCATTTTATTTAGAAAAATAGTCACTCGAATCAATATTGCCATTAAGCAATCATCCCAAAAATCACCGTCACATCAGTGTAGAAATGAAAATCCAATAACATGAATAATGTATTACTATTGGACATCCGACCATATTTTCTAAACACGAGAAAGCACATGATGCGACGGTGGTAGTATGTCAAGAACAAGGACGGATGACATCAATGCCTAAGGGTCAATACTGTCTTAAATACTCGGATTCCATTAAAAAAAAAAAAAGAGAAAAACCTAGAAATAGATATCATTCCGGGATACCCAAAACATAGATCACAAATTCCTGTCTATATATATCCTATTGTTCTTGCAAATAAAAGTTAAAAAAACTAACTAGAAAAAACCATATCCTCAGGTCAAACTATTTTCACAAGTTCACAAACTATATCTGACGCACATCAACAAACTTCTCACAGACTATACATAAACCAAGAAAAAAAAAACAAAAGAAATAAAAAACTTAATATGTATAAAACGAGATGGACTGTGGTAGTCAATTGATGCCGAGAGCTTTCATCCTCCTAACTAGAGTAAGCGCATGAGCGTTACTGGCCACCCATTCTTCCCTTCCCCTTCCCACCCTCATGTGCCCCATCATTCTCAGCAGCTCATCGTTCCCATCTAAAATGCTAACTATTTGCCTCATGTTTGGCCTCCTTTCTGCCTTCGAAAGCGTGCATGCCATCCCCAACCTCACCATTCTCTCCAATTCCTTCATCTCAAAATTACCCTCCATTCTTTCGTCTGCCATCTCCTCCACCGGCCTTCTTCTCGTCTCCATTCCCCAAGCCCTCCTCACCAACAGCCCCTCAGGCCGCCGGAGATCCACTGCCGGCCTGCCGCTCACAATCTCAAGCACAACAACGCCGAAACTGTAAACGTCCGCCGCCGCTGTTGCCCTTCCGGTTTTCATGTATTCCGGCGACATGTACCCGAATATTCCCCGGGCAGAGGAGCTTCGCCCGGTGGAAGCGGCATGGCAGCCGCCGCTCTCATTGCGGGAAAGGAACTCAGCAAGAGCAAAGCAGCCGAGTCGAGGGCTCATGTCGGGGTCGAGGAAAACGGAAGAGGAGGTGATGCTTCGGTGGATGACCTGCTCCTCCCACTCCTCATGAAGGTAAAGCACAGCCGAAGCAAGCGCCTTTATGATGCGGTAGCGTTGCCGCCACGTGAGGACAGCAGGGGAGATCTGGCGATCGAAGAGGCGGCGACTGAGGACTCCCCCAGAGGGGTAGTCGTAGACGACGAGCATCTCGCCATTTTCCGTGCACCAGCCGCGGAGCTGGACTAGGTGGCGGTGACGTAAGTGGCCAAGATTGGATAGTTCGTCAGAGAACCGTAAGCGCAGAGCAGGGCAGGTTTTCATCCCTAAGCGTTTAACCAGAACGTGGAAGCGGTTGTCGAGCAAGCCGTGGTACCCTGTTCCGAAGTCGAGTTCTGCTACCATCCTTGATTCGGAGAAGTTGTTGGTGATTTCGACGATTTCTTTGTAGGAGATGGTGCGGGGAGTATTGACGTTAGGAAAATTCACGGCCTTTCGGTGACTACGGCTATTTTCATCGTTGGCAGTGAGGAATACGGTGGAGCCCATGGCGGTGAGGTAGTTGGATGAGTAGACAGTGCCGGTGGTAGTTCTGGCGGAGGAAGAGGAGGACGAGAGAGAGATATAGAGAGGTTGCAAGTGGAAAGAAGGAAGCGCCGGGAGGTCGCCGACAGTGTCGCTAACAAGTGTCTCCATGACCCATTTCATGGTAGGTCGGGATTGGGGATCATGGAGGGAGCAGAGGAGGCCGATGTGCAGCAGCCGCCCAATTCCTGGCAGCGGGTAGCTTCCCTCTTGAAGCTGCTTGTCACCAGCACTAAGCAATTCGCCATCGTCGGCGAGCCGCCGCACCCAATCAAGCATGAATATCTTGTCGTCCGAGTACGCAAGATCGACGGCACGCCGCCCTGTGGCGACCTCGAGCACCACCACGCCGAAGCTAAAGACATCTGACTTCGCAGTAGCGCCGCCGCGACGCTGGAAGCTCTCTGGTGGAAGGTAGCCGATGGTTCCTCCAATTCGGCTAGTATCTGTGATTCGGAACTCATAATTATTCGACGACACGGACCGACTGGACGCTGTCCGAGTTTTCAACGGATGATCGGCCTCGCAGTGTTCGATCCAGCGCGCGAGGCCAAAGTCTCCGAGCCGCGCGTTGTAGCCGGAGTCGAGCATGACGTTACTGGCCTTTACGTCCCGGTGAATGATCTGCGTGTCAAGTTGCTCGTGCAGGTAGAACAGAGCTGTGGCTAGTCCGGCCACAATCTGACGCCGACGGTCCCACCCGAGAACCGGCGTAGATGGGGCGAAGAGGAGGCGGTCAAGACTACGGTTGGGCATATAGTCGTAGACGAGGAGGAGCTGGTGTTCGTGTAAGCACCAGCCGCGGAGGCGGACGAGGTTTCGGTGGCGGAGCTGCGCTACGGCGACAAGCTCCGCGGCGAAGGACTTTTCGAAGCGTTGGTCGGCGCCAGCCACGCATTTTACAGCGACCACGGAGCCGTCGCTGGGAAGCACTGCTCTGAAGACACGCCCAAAGCCACCACTCCCGAGGACTTCCTTCTCGTTGAATCCTTTGGTGCCTATGTAAAGCTCGGCATAGCTGAATATCCTGGGGCCGCCGTTTTTCTTGGAATGCAGCGCATCCGAAGTAACTCCGGGGGTGTCGTGGAACTCAGAGTAGTTATCGGACTCGTCTTGGAAGCAGCTGAGGTTTGGACATCGGCGGCGGCAGAAACAGTGGAGGGAGCGGCGTGCGAAGGTGGATAGACCATGGGACAGACTATGGTTCTTTCCGGTGGGGTATTTGGCAGGAAGGGTTCTGGGTTCTAAGGCGATATCGTCGGCGTCGAAGGGCAGGATGAAGCAGAGCCGTCTCATCGACATGACAGCTAGGGGGAGGTATGAATTGTGAAGACGATGAAGGCCGCTAGTTTATATAGCAAGCAAGGAGGACGGACACGCTAATATGCAAGCCATCAGTAGTTCCGGAATTCTCAACTTCACTCGTGTCATAATTGTAATATAAAATTTTCTTGGTCAAACTAATAATCAATTAAAATCATTAGTAACAAAAAGTGAATTTTTTTATGTGCCTCATATTCTAAAAAAATTAATTTATATATTCACTTCTAAATTTTTATATTATTTATTGAAGTTCATCGAAAAATCGATTAAAAAAAGAATATTATATAACAGCATTGTAAGCATGCCTGCCAGGGCAGTATATGTGAAAGGAAGTTTAAAAAAAAGAAAACGACATGGTTGGAGAGATTAAAAATTTAAGGAGCAGCTGCGAGAAAGAAGGAGGCTAATCAAAGCATAATGTGGACAGTCCCAAGGCATAATTGAAACGATAGAATTCACAAATTCATTAATAAAACCAGACCATCGAAAATGACCAACATCTAAAGGAACGATATTTAAAAAAAAACAAAAAATGGGAAACTTGCATCCCTGGACGCATTTCTCATGTATTTATATATCCCCCATCTAAACTTACACATCTATGCATATATATATATATATATATATATATATAGGGGATGCTT